ATACACAGCTTCTTTTCCTCGGTCTTTCTCATATCCTTTGCTCACATAATTTTTGTTCTGAGGCTTCCTAGAATCATAGAATATCCTGTGTTGGAAGGGACCCACAAGGATCATCGAGTCCCACTCCTGGCCCTGCACAGCACAGCCCCAAGAATCCCACCATGTGCCTGAGAGTGTTTTCCAAATGCTCCTTGGCACCCTTGGGGCCGTGACCACTGCCCTGGGGAGCTCTTCCAGTGCCCAACCACCCTCTGGGGGAAGAACTTTTTCCTGAGATCCAGCCTAAACCTCCCCTGACACAGCTTCCCGATTCTTCTTTGGAGGCTTTGCACACTAAAAAAAAACCCCCACAAACAACCATAAAGCAAAACAAAAAACCCCAAACAAAACACTCCAAACTAAAATCCCCTCTAAAAACACCAAACACCAACCTCCAACCCCCAAAACCTTCTGGTGGAGAAACTTTGCATTTTTCCTACTGCAAAACTAAGAAATATTTTGCCTAGCAGTGGTCACAAATGTGTTTTAAGGCAGGAGAAAATATTATTTAGGGGCAGGGTCACATTTTCCTCAGCACTGTGGTGCTGAGCACCAGAGGGCACTGCTCTGCAGCACACTCAGGGAACACAAGCAGTAGTCTGAGTGTCACTAGGTTCTCTTCTCTTGCTCTTTCTCATTGTTGGGAATTACCTTTTTAATGTTTTGAAGGGGAAGCTTTTGCACTCGTGAGAGACAGTGGTTAAGGATACCTACAGATATTCCCTGTTCTGTCCAGTAGTGCTGCAGCACAGGGCAAGAGGGTCTAGATGTTACCTTGCCACTTAGGGACAGAGTATGATGCTGGAAGGCCCTTCTGAAGCATGATTAAAAATCTCTGAACTCCTTTGCACACCTAAGCAGAGACCCAGCAATGCTGGACATGCTTTTTATCTGACCTGATATTATTTTATTCCTTCTCCTCAAGATCTGTCCGGAGGATACCACCTTGAACTTCAAATTAATTAAGGTAAGATTTCTTGTTTTAGTGAAGTGAAAGCAGGCAATTTCCAGCAGGTATGTAGAAGAGGATGAGGTGATAATATTCACCAATTTCACAAATGCTCTATAAAAATTTTGAAAGGGAAAAATTCCAGCTGTAGGCTTTGATTCAGTCTCTTAACAGGGCCAAACAAGAGGGCATCAACACCCGAGAAGTTATGTATCTGCCCATCTGTGGCTAGTGGGCTGAGATTTTATGTTTCCTTCATGACTCAGTGCAGTATCAGCACAAAGCTGTTTATTGTTCTCTGCAGACTCCAAAAAAAGTTACATTCTTGGTGCACTTGGAGCAGAATTTCTATTATCAATGAAGTTAATTTTAAATTTCTGAGACAGGTATGTAGCTTTGTTACAGCTTTGAGCAGGAATCCTCTACTGAGCAATACAGTGGCAATTGGTTTCCTTTCCTGTATCACAGGGTACTTAAAACTTGATCTGGAGAAATCACCACTAGTGATGGAAGGAATGCTTTAATATCCACATTCATTTAGTTCTTGACATCTTCCCTGTTGATCCAACAGACTCTGCTCTTTTCAGAACTGGGATTTGTAAACATTTTCAATAGTAAAAAAAAAAAAAAATCACAATTTGTCATGTTCAAGCTAAGAATGTGTGTTGTGTAAGTTTGGGCATTTGGGAACAGAAGGTACCCACAGCTGAACAGGGGCATTTACAGATGTTGTCAAACAACTCGGGGATGTTGTCAAACAACTCGGGGATGTTGTCAAACAACTCGGGGATGTTGTCAAACAACTCGGGGATGTTGTCAAACAACACGGGGATGTTGTCAGACTGTGGAAGGCAATGTTTGCAGAGCTTTTCAAACTGGTCTAAGAAAGAGACAAAGCTTTGTCCTGCACATCTGACTATCCTTTCTGGTTTTGTAGGGGAAGAGGTGGGACTGGTATCTGGAATATCTCTACGCACAAGGTTTGGAGGGCCTGAAGGTCTTCATTGAGAGCAGCATCAATCGTGTTTCCCAGGCCTCTCTCAGAAAAGCGGAGAATGTGGAAGCGTGACCCTGGGACTCACTGGAGCTCTTCTGTCCTCTGGAACAGATTAGCAGAATCTAAAGGACTGTGCCACTGGTTACTTCCTGAGGGGAAAGAAACAGAGCAATTACTCTTGTAGTGACATTTATTTTGTGAAAGTGAAGACACAGAAGGAATGCTTAGGCTGCCTCTTGTCCCTGCTGAACTCTGGTGTGAAGTTGGTGAGCTGTATGTTATGTCCCATCCACATTTATTATCCCAGGTTCTCTCTGTTGAGTATCTCCTCAAGAATCAGACAGTTTCCATCTCAAAACTGCAGTGAGCAGTGCTGCTTCATTTATGAGTAATGTTGATCTCTGACCTGATTTGCCTTCCTCAGGATCAGGTAACTCCATCAGCCTTTAGGGATACTGTCTACGTGTTGGATTGGAGCAACGTGTGTTTCCCAATTCCCTGTTGTACCACGTGTGTACTGTCCTTCTAGCAGGCTGAACAAACTGACCTTCCTGAAATTCATTTTCATTTTGAAGCTTCCAGAATGGACTTTTTGCCAACATTGCTTATAATGATGTTCTAATGCAGCTGGAAAATTCAGTGCTCAGTTGATGGTTTGTTGATGGTTTGAGGACTTGTACAATATAGCCACCAGTTCACCATTTTCTATTGGTAAGTGCAAATGTAGCTTTCCTTTTTGTGTTTTTAGCTCTGTAGGTGTTGTGTATTATACATGTACGTATATATATAATTTATAATATGTTAAATGTTTCCAACGTGCCACTTTAAATAAACTCTGCTACAAAAAGTATCATCTCCTGTCATTTCATTTTAACACTGAATAGCAGTTGGGAGAAGCTGTACTGAGGTTTCCAGAATTTGAGTGAATGTTATTTTACTGTGGTAAAACAAGGTTGTAACCACTTGAAAGTTGGGTCAGAGTATACTGAATTTTGCATTGTGAATCTGTAGTTTGTGAATTTGTAGTAAAGGAATCAGTCCTGAGAGTGACCCCAGAGCCACTAAAGATGTGTTTGGTTCCTTCATCCTCTCAAAATCAGACTGTGGTTGAGTAACACAGTTCTCAGCTCAAACTGATGGTCTGTTAATACGCCCTTTCTCATCCATCTGTGTTATTCCAGATAGTGTAAGTGCTGCCTGCTAATTTTTGTCAGGAGGAACAGATCTTCAATATCCTGATTATATTTTCTCAACAGGGGACGCTTTACATATTACAAATTCCTCCAAGTGGATATGTTTCAAGACGCGACCCTAACATATAATGAGTTTTATAATTTTTCTGTGAAGCTGCCTTCAGAAAGGTGTTAGAAATGCTATTTCCACTTATGCTGGAAAGCCTGTGCTCTGCGTTCCCCAAGGACAGCTTAATCCTTAGCTTTTGTCCTTGAGATACCGACCAGACTCGTACTTCCACACTGTTGTACTGGGATTCTCTATAGGAATAAGCCTAGAAAACAGATGAAGACATGGACCCCCTCACAGATCTGTGTATGGCAGGCTCAGTCAGGGGGGAAAGGAGCAGGTACAGGGCATCCTAAAGAAGCATTAGCCAGGAAGACAAGGCTTCATGTTGCCTGGGTGCTGTTTGAAGTTTGTGGAAGGAGCAGAGCACTGGCATTCCTGTCAGACTGGCAGGTGCTGCCAGAGGCTTCATTTCACTTGTGAGAGATGCTTAGATTCTTAAGAGTGTGTGTGATGTATGTAAATGTATTTAAAGGAGCTTACAGCAGAATCCTTCAGGATATACTGAGTATTAGGTAGTTGTTGGTCCCTTATCCCTCAGATAAGTTTTCCCTTGATGTTGGTGTTTGGTTGAGAAAACACAAGATCGTGTCATGGGAGACTTGTTACATCACAGGTCTTTTATTATACCCTGTGCTATGAAAGAATTTAAGCAGACTGTGCGCAGTTTTGTCATTCAAGTGTGCAGACTGGACACTTATAGCTGCAGAATTACAGTAATAGGACAGATAACTTTCCTTTAATGTCAGCTTTGTTGGTCAAAATGACTGTTTAAAATCCTTGCCGTGCAGCAATGGTGTGTCTGGTATCATTGGGCACTTGAGAGGACTTTTAACCTCTCTGTGTGCTGTGGCAGCTCTTGTTATTTTTGACATTTGGACATTTTTCTTACAAATATCTAACTTCACTAGCATTGCACTTGAATGGAAGAATGGCCTTTTTAGGGAGGAATGATGCTACTGCACCTTTTCTATTTTCTGGTGGTTTGTTTTCGGTTTTTTTGTTTGTTTGGTTTGTTTTGTGGGTTTTTTGTTGATTTGGTTTGGTTTTGGTTTTGTTTCCTGCTTGCTCTTTGCATTCTAATCATCATGGTAAATCTTATAAACCATTTCCTATCACAAGCATGTGCTCAAGGACTTGGCTGACCACAGCATCTGCTCGGAGCACAAAACTGGAGATAGTCAAGACCCATTCATTTCCTGGTAAGTGACAAATGAGTGACTCACCTCCAGTGCCTGTTTCTGCCCACTGTAAGGTGTCAGTGGATGTAGACACTGAAATTGTAGAAGAATTGTGCTGTGGTACTATATGATAGAAACAATGGAGGCTGAAAAGTTCGTTTAAGGGTCACGTGTTGTCAACCAGCACCCCACAGAATACTGAGGTTTAGGTTAGGCCTGCAAGCTTCCCCTGAAGGAGTGATATTCCACACAATTCACTAGAAGGGAAGTGTATTATTTCATATGACTTGGGTCTGCTCTTGAGTGTGTGTTTTCTTTCTAGAGGATGATGTTTCGAGATCCAAATTTCTGCTGTTGGCTGGGAATGCTGGTTTGTGTCCTGTCTCCCCATGAGAAAAAGTTGTTGAGAAGCTCCACTTTCTGTCTGTCCTTCCTTGTCAGGAGGCTTCTACAGGCTTTTGGTGTAGGGGCTTTGTAATATTACAAGCAGGCCATGGCAGTGGTTGTTTCAATTTAACTATATCCTGTAGCATTACTAGTAGCCTGTTCGGATGCCTTCAAAAAGTGAGGCCTTTCCCTTTGGAAAAATCTGAATGAAATCAGGGTATTAGATAGGATTTCAAGGTACAGGGCCAGAATCCTATCTGGGCTAAGTAGGCCCAGCTCCACTAATTTCTAATGGATCTCTGTTGAGTTGCACCAGCTGAACATCTGGTCCCCAGTTCACACAACTGAAGCCATTAACCCCTCCCTGTCAGACACATTGGCCTGAACATTATGCATCTGAAAATACAAATGCCTTGGGCTACAGTTAATCCGAATTCTTTTTTCTGAAGCCATGTTTGTTTTGGGTTTCTGTTAATCATTATTTTATTTTGGGATGAGAGACTCATTTGTGCATCTTAGGGCAACAGAGTCTGATGCATTTCAGAGAGAGCTTGCTCTGAAAGAGTTAATAATTTCAACCTGTTTTCAGCTGAAATGAAGAAACTGGTTCCTCTGTATCCCTGCTTTCTATTCTTTTGTTGGCCTACTTCCCTCTGCTTGCATTTTGCATTCCTAATACCATGAATAAATCAGGACCCCAGGATTTAGAAGGTGGTACAGCTGTAACCACTCAGAAAATTGAATCTATGAGGCTTGTACCGCAGCTCTAACAACCGCCAATATATGTGCTCCTGAACTCTTCTAACAACATTTAGTTGGTACCAAAATAAAATTCACTTTTGCCTTTTTTATGTAATGTTTAAGATTTTTGTGCCTCTACCCAGTGTCTCCTCACTTGGTTCCCTTTGTCTTTTAGTCAAAGCTCAGTTATAAGCCCTTCAGGGCAGGGTAATCTCCCCCTGGCTGCTGTGACAAAATGGCTTATCACAAATCTTTGCACACAGGAGACAAGAATAAGGGAAACTGAGGGCTCTGACCTGGCAAAGGATTCATTTTCTCTACAGTCACAGCACAGTGAAACTCCTGTCTGCCTGTTGTCCTAGATCCTCTGATAACTTGTCATTAATAATACACACTGGACTGATTTTATTTGTAGCTCTGTGGCTCCTGAGAGTGCGTGAGGGAGCTCTTCATGTGCTTTTTAGTCAGAGGATGCATCCAGTCTGGGTGGAAAACAGCAGACATTAGTAACAAGCTTGCTCTGGAAGAGGAATATCTTAAAAGAATAAAGTCCTCAAGTATTTTCTTCTAGGAAAGATGATTTATGTTTTACTGATAGATTTCCCTCACTGCTGTGCTTTTTAAAAGAAAAGGAATTATTATGATCTGATTGAGGTTTGATTTCACCAAACCTTGTTTTTGACTGAGAATGCCTTTTATGTCTTTCTTAGCATTTGGTGACGTGGTTTTCAGCACTGGATTCCTGAGAACTTTATCTGTTAGACCTGTCCAAGTAACTCCCAAGTAATTATAGTTGGCAAGGGAGGTGTTGAATTACACACCTTACCAAACTTTATATATGTGTCTTGTGAGGATGCCTCTCTGCCTCTCAGTTTCCTGTCTTGTAGGAGTAAAAAGTCTGCATAACAGAGGGTAAGATTTTTTTTTAAAAGTGCCATAATCTCCATTTTCAGGCTCCCTACAGTCTTGCAGAAATGTGAAAAGTGAAACAGTTGATCTTCCAAAAAAAAAAAAAAAAAAGCTGCAGGTGCTTACACAGACTCTAAATACTGTTTTAACCTTGACAGCATTTAGAAATCTGTAGGCTCAGACACGATCCCTTTCTGCAGCTTAATGAGTGAACACGCACCAGGCGAGCTGTGGTACCTGCCAGAAATGTGACACAGAATGGGCTGCTCCAGTCCAGGCTGTAGGTGATGGGATATTTCAGTCACTAATGTGGCTGAGCTCCTGAGCTTCAGGCACTGGATTTAGGCTGCAAATTGCCTCAGATACTTGGAAAAACTTTATTCTGTGCCTGAATCATTTGGGCTCTTCCTTTAAAGAATTCAGGGATAAGCTTCTTGTGTATAGGTATATTTTTATATGCAGCTGTATCCCCGTGCAGTTTGACTTGCTCTCCTCCAGTGTTTGTGCTGCCTGTGAGTCTTGTGTGTGATCTCTGCAGAAGGAGGCTGCTCTCCGCAGGTTTTCTCCCAGCCCTCTCTCTGGAGTCTCCAGGCCTTCATGGTCGGTTGTACACGGATCACTAAGCAGTTTCCTTTCTCTAAGGGCACCTCTGTTCTATGTCGAAGTGAATCTTCAGCAGCTCCTGTGTGATTTGCTTTCTGCTCCTTTGTGTGCACAGCCCAGTAAATAAGGAAGGGGATGGAAAGCACATTGTAAATGTGGTGACAGCTCTTGAAGAGTGAAACAGTCTCTGAAAGCTGCCTGTCTGTCTTAACCCTTCTCCTGCATAGTTTTGCTTTCTTTTCTACCATTTTCTCCTTCTTCTTTTCTTTCTCCATCTTTCTCCATCTCTCCCCCAAATTCTTTAACGCTCTTTTCACACCCACTCCTTCCTTTTTGGTGCTTGCTGCTCTGACAAGAGTTCCCCTCTCCCCTATGGCCCCCATTTCTCATTCAGGGGGGAACTGTTTCAATGCCTGTTCAGGAGCAAATGAAAAGGGGGATTCATTCTGTTTCTGAGTGCATGTCAGCTGTCTGCTTGTATCACTTCTCTGCCCATTCTTCTCTCTAACCCCAGGTACCATGCATTTAGAAAGCGTCCTGCTGTTTTTCTAAATGCTTTCGGCAGGGTAGAATCTGTTCTGGGAAGATTTTAGTGCTTATTGATGCCAGCAAAGGAGGGGCAGTTTTTTATTTGACATCAGTTGTTTAAACAAACAAACAAACAAACAAAGGAACAATATCCAGTCAACTATTCTTAAGTTCTTCTCAAGCTGAATTTAGGGCC